ATGAGGTGACCAGAACTGGACACAATACTCCAGATGTGGCCGAACCAGGCTTTTGTATAGTTGGAGCATAACTTCACGGCTCTTGAACTCAATCTCTCTACTAATGAAAGCTAATACACCATACACCTTCTTAACAACTCTATCCACCTGGGTCAACAAGGTGTACAGCTGGATGAACACAGCAGGCCAAGCAGCATCATAAGAGCAGAAAGGCTTCATGGATTCTCCAGCATCTGCAGTTCCTACTATCTCTATCTACCTGGGTGGCAGCTTTTAGGGAACGGTGAACATGAACCCTAAGATCCCTCTGCTCCTCCACACTGCCAAGAATCTTTCCGTAACCCTATGTTCTGTTTTCGAGTTTGTCCTTCCAAAATGAATCACCTCACACTTTCCAGGGTTAAACTCCATCTGCCACTTCTCAGCCCAGCTCTGCACCCTATCAATGTCCCTTTGTAACCTCAAACAGCCCTCCACACTGTCCACAACACAACCCACCTTTGTGCGTATCACTTACTGCTGATAATGTTTGACACACAAGTAATCCTATTTGTACTATCACCAGGTTGACATCTCATTTTTAGGTATGCCTGCTGCTCCTGCTTACGCCATTGGACCAGGGTTGATCCTCTGGCTAGATGGTAATGGTTGAATTTTTTTTTATTCTCTGGTGGGATGTGGGTGTTTCTAGCTGGCCAGCACTCATTGCCAGTCCCTGTTCGAGTAGGGGATATACTGGGGCACGAGGTTTGTGGATAGTGTTGGAGTATGATCCTGGTGCTGTTGTTGATAGTCCACAGTGCCTCGTGGATGTAGAGGAGAGCAAGGCCCATACTCTCATAGGGGATATGGAGGGGTCAACTCTGAATCAGATAGCGTGACTGACTGGACACACTGATCCAGGCATGTTTCACCCCGATTGCTACTTCCTTCCTTCTTGTTCCCTGGATATCGAAAGAGAAACATTGACATGGGTGATCAGCCATGATCTGCTTGTTCTACCATTCAAGTTCGATAGGTTGAATGGCGTACTCCTTTTCCCACGTGGAAAGTCTTGGGATGGGTTGACACTGTGTCAAGATTCCATGTCAAACTGGGGCAGGCTGACAAAGAAGTCAGTTTTTACTGACTATTTTTAATGTTATCTCATAAACCAAGAAAGATAACTCACCGTCATTTTAGTAAATGACGCATCATCTGGCCTTCAATCACCCACTTTCTCAGTCGTTCAATGTCAAAGAAATCACGATGACTCCACAACCCCAAAGCCATGCTAAACCTTTACCTCAAGGTCCAACATGACATCAAGAGGATGAATGGTGTGGCACTTCAGTTCAATTCAGGCAAAACGCCAGATTTCAAGGTCTTTTCGCCAATGCATCACAGACATCAGCTGATCATAATTCTTTTTATTAGTGACTATAAATATTGTCTCGCAAATGGTTATTAAAGGAGTGAGATGCTAAGTGCCTGATGCACATCTCACTGCATGTCTGCTACTGCATCTGTATTACATTGTCAGACGTCACACAACACCAGGTTATAGTCCAACAGGTTTATTTGGAATCACACGAGCTTTCGGAGTGCAGCCCCTTCATCAGTTTATAGGCAGAGAGCTCAAAAGATCATACGGAGACAGTAGGAACTGCCGATGCTGAAGTTTGAGATAACAAGGTGTGGAGCTGGAGGAACACAGCTGGCCAGGCGGCATCAGAGGAGCAGGAAAGCCGACATCTCCGGTCTGGATCCGTCTTCAGAAAATGCCAGATTTCAAGGTCTTTCTTTTGAAGACGGGACCCGGCCTGATGCATCGGCTTTTCTGCTCCTCTGATGCTGCCTGGCCTGCTGTGTTCAGCCAGCTCCACACCTTGTTATCAAAAGATCATACAACTGGTGTGAGTGGAGTGTCAAATGATAAGTCTCTGCAGGTGACCAAGAGTGTTAGACAGTGTGTAAAGTGTTTATAAAGTCAGTGTCAGTGCTGTTCTATCATGACAATCAGGCAGAGCCACAGGAATATACAAAAGGTGACATCTCAGATCAGGCACTGAACTGCAGGTGCGAGGCTTTGTTTAGAACCTGTCTGAGTTTTAACCAGGAATCCGGCAGATTTTATTTGGCAAGTTCGAATTTATAAGATGCCACACTGACTATAAATTGTGTGTTTTTTGAACAAAACAGAATATATCTGCAAATAAACAAACTTTTTGGATGAAATGATTCACCCCACAGATTTTTGTGTGTGTGTGTGAGGGAGAGTGAGAGACAGGGTGGGTGTGTGTATGTGAGACAGAGCATGAGAGAATGTGTGTGTGTGAAAGAGTGAATGAGAGAGTGAGTGAGTGAGTGACTGCGTTAGAGAGAGTATGTGTGACAGTGTGCATGAGAGTGTATTAAGTAATTCAAAACTGTACAAACTAATTAAGGTACAGAGACCATAATTTACCAAGGTGATGCTGTCAAAACCTGACAGTAAAGAAGATTTTACAGATACAGAACAGTGTGGTGTAAAATCTGTATCGTGACATGAACCCAAGATCACGGTCAAGGCCATCTTCATGGGTATGAAACTTGGCTATCAGTCTCTGCTTGGAGATTGTGTGTTGTTGTGTATCCCGAAGTCCACCTTGAAGGACACTTACCTGAAGATTGGAGGCTGAATGTCCTTGACACTGAAGTGTTCCCCCACTGGGAGGGAACATCCCTGTCTGGCGATTGTTGTGCGGTGTCCATTCATCCGTTATCAGAGTGTCTGCATGGTCTCACCAATATCCCATTCCTCGGGGCATCCCTGCCTGCAGCGGATGAGATAGACAACGTTGGCTGAGTCACTGAAACAACTACATAGCGATATCAACAAATTTCATCCCACCAGACTTCGCATGGATGACTCTTTGGAATCCTTCTCATTCTTGGACATATGCATCACCATCAAGGACGGACATCTCAGTACCTCAGTCGACTGCAAGCCCACAAATAACATCACAATACTGCACTTCTCTAGCTTCCCTGCTAAATATATTAAAGAAGCCATCTCTTACAGACAGCCCCTATGCATACACAGGATCTGCTCAGATGGGAATGCGACGGACACCTGAAGGTTTTGATAGATGGTCTCAAGGAACAAGATACAATGCTCAACTCATCAATCACCAGTTCCGACATGCCACAGCAATAACCTCCTCAGAAGACAGGCACAGGATAAGATTGATAGAGTACCCTTTGTTGTCCAATACTTCCCTGCAGCAGAGACGCTACGCCATGTTCCTCACAGCCTTCAACGTGTCATTGATGACGTTGAGCATCTCGCCAAGATCATTCCTACGCCACCACTTCTCACCTTTAAACAACAACAAACCAAAAACAGTCCATTGTTCACAGCAAACATCCAACCTTCAGGACAACAGTGAACACAACACCGCACAACCCTGTCCTGGTGCCCTCTGCAACACATATCAGATCATTAACATGGACACTACCATCGCACATGGGAACACCACCCACTATGTACATGGCAGATACTCATGTGCCTTGGCTAATATTGTCCACCTCATACACTGCAGGTAAGGATGTCCCGAGGCATGGTATAATGGTAAAACATGGAGATATTACAACAATGGCTGAATGGACACCGTGCAACAATCACCAAACAGGGATGTTCCCTCCCAGTCGGGGAACACTTCAGCGGTGTTGGGCATTCAGCCTCCAATCTTCAGGTAAGCATCCTCCAAGGTGGACACCGAGATACACAACAACACAGAATCGCTGAGCAGAGACTGATAGCCAAGTTCTGTATCCATGAAGATGGCCTTGACCGTGATCTTGGGTTCATGTTGCACACTGTTCTGTATCTGTAAAATCTTCCTGACTGTCCTGTTTTCACAGCATCACCTTGATAAATTGTTATGATCTCTCTACCTTAATTAGTTTGTACAGTTTGGATTAGTTGCACGCACACTCTCTCTCTCTCTCACACGCACGCACACTCTCTCTCTCTCACACGCACGCACACTCTCTCTCTCTCTCACACGCACGCACACTCTCTCTCTCTCTCTCACACGCACGCACACTCTCTCTCTCTCACGCACGCACACACACACACTCTCTCTCACACTGACGCACACACACTCTCTCTCACAC